TCCGGGGCGTGACATAAATCATCTCCAGCTCTTAGAGTTAGTGAGCCATCAGTGACATCAATCAAGGCCCTGACGGTAGCCAGAAAGGGCCTTCCCAGAATAAGAGGTGTTTCCCTGTCTTCTTCCATGTCCATTACTACAAAGTTGACTAGGAAAATGAATTTGTCGACCTTGACCAAGACGTCTTCAACAATTCCTTTCGGATATTTGACTGAGCGATCAGCCAGTTGAAGACACATCCTGGTGGGTTTCAATCCCCAAGTCCTAGCTTCTCGACTATAGAGGAAGGCATTAGGTTGATACTCGCCCCTAAGTCAGCTAGAGCATTATTGAAATTGAAATTGTCAATTGAACAAGGGATAGTGAAGCTACCTGGATCCTTTAGCTTTTCGGGTATCGACCTTAGAATCACAGTTGAGCATTCTGCATTTAGGTCCACGACTGAGAGCTCCTGCAGCTGCCTCTTGTTTGTCGGCAAGTCCTTGAAGAACTTGGCATATTTAGGCATCTCCGCCAAGGCATCCATCAGCGGCAGGTTGATGTGGAGTTGTTTGAGTAGGTCCAGGAATTTGTTGTATTTCCTGCTATCGTCATCATTTCTAACCCGTGAAGGAAATGGGAGAGAAGATTTGATGATATTGACCTTTGCGTTAGGCCATGTTGGCTCCATGCTCTTCTCAGTTGGAGCATCAGTATGGTTCTCAGGTGTCTCATCTTCTTCGTTGTTCTTCTTCTTGACCTCGGCTGTTTGTCTCTCACTTCGGAGAGTGATAGCTTGCACATGTTCACGTGGATTTGGTTCTGTATTGCTAGGCATGTTGCCAGACTGACAACTGGGAATATTATTCTGAGTAATTTCCATCATCAGAGTTTTGGTCTGATTGTCAGTGCTAGCCTTGTATTTTGCCATCTCCTCTCGTGTCCTTGCTAGTTCAGCTACTAGCAAGCCTATCTCCGAGGTTTGGGCCGCCTCTGTTTGTCATATATGTGGAGGCACATAAACCTGATTGTTCTGGTTTGATTGGTTTAGTGCCCCTCCCTGGTTCCGCCCTTGGAAGTTGTGCCTTTGATTGTTGTTGTTGGGGTAGTTCTGGTTACCTTGGTAATCGTCGTGCGTGAGGAGGACCATTGTTGTAATCCCCCCACCATTGGTTACCCTGGCAGTTTCTCCATTGGTAATTTTGAGGAGGGTAATTTGAGTTACCTCCCCTGTTGCCTTGATTTGCCCATGGCCCTTCTTGTTTTGTTCGGCCATATTCCAGCATGTTTACCTCCCTGTTGTTACTTAGATTAAAATCATCAACTAATTGACATGAATTGGTCAAATGCGGACCAAAACATATCTCACATGAGAGTACAAGTTCAGTTGAATTAGAAAGAGGTGAATAAACATTAAATTGTGATGATTGTGGGGCAGAGTTTGAGTTCCTGAAGTATCGAGATGGTTGCTGATTCGGGGCAACGCCAATGTGGTTGACCTGGTTGGGCGATTGTTTTCGCCTTTCAGATTTTTCACTTCCACCACCAACCCTTCAATCTTTGCGGTTAAAGCCGTGAGTTGGTCAACTTCAAGATAGCCTGGTTTTGTGGCCACTGGAGTTCTTTCATCGTACCAGTATCTTGCGTTGGAAGTGACCTTCTCCACCAGAGCTTCATTGGCGTCAGGCGCCATATTGAGGAATGATCCCACCTGAGAAGAGAAATCAAGCTCTTTTTTGCTTCCAACTTGAAGCCCATTATAGAAATGGAACATCAAGCTGCTAGGGTCCATCAGTGTGAGTGGACACTTGTTTCTCATATCCTTGAAGCGCTCCCATGCTTCATTTAATGATTCAGTCATGAATTGCCTAAAATTTTGGATTGCTGTTTTAATTTTAGCAACCGCCGACGGAGGAAAGTACTCTTGCATGAACGCCTGGTGTAGTGTTGCCCATGTTGTGAAATGACCCGTTGGAAAGCTATCCAACCATAAAGATGCCCTATCTCGTAGTGAGAAAGGAAATAGGGTCAATTTTATGGCGTCAGGAGTCACTCCGTTGAAGCGGAATGTTTGGCATGCTCGGGTGAACCACAAGATGTGGGCCCTGGGGTCGTCTTCCTTGGACCCGCCAAATTGATGATTAGACATCATGTTGATAATGGCGGGTTTTATCTCGACGTTGGCTGCATCGATTGTTGGTGCGCTTATGCTATCATCCTCGATGAAGCTTGGCGTGAGGTTTTGCAGCACCGTCTTTTGGTCCGTCATGATTGATTTCTTGTGGATTAAAAGATTTTTCCACAAAGTTCGTTCAGGATTAAGTTCAAGTAGCCCTTTCACTCCTTTAAAGCGAGTGTGCATTCATTTATCCTGAAATCTTTATACAAATATCGCAAGTGCGAAAAAGTCTCCCTAACTAGAATTCACCTATGCTAGAACTAGATCAAGAAATTACTGTGCCATTCCCCGGCAACGGCGCCATTTGATAACCGCTTACGCGGCGTTGTAGTAAAACGGAGTATAACCTTTCGGTTTTCCCCGAGTATCGTGTCTCTTGAGGAATGACGGAGGACTTTTCTTAATTTAGTCTTAGTCACTGGTTATTGCTAATCGTTGAAAGCTTTTTCAATACCAAGGAGGATGATTGTGTTCTAAACTAGGCCAATTTACAAAATTATAACTAGGAACAATTTTCAACTAAAAATGAAGGCTTAAGATCAAATATTCCAAGGATTAATGAAATGATTGAGGCAAATAAGGGAAATGAATTGAGTAATTAGAAATGGATATATTCTTGGGCCTAGGAATTAGGGGAATTAAAACTAAAATTGGACTAATAATTTCTTTTCTCATAGACAAGAATAGAAATTACTTTCATTAATTTATCATGTTTCTAGGTTTCATTCATGTATTCAAAAAATGGTTGGTTTGAATTAAATTCTAATCTCATAGACAAGACAGAAATAATTCTTCAATATTTTAATTAATAAAAGTAGCCAAAGTCATTAACTAATTAAACTCATTATTTAAGCAATTTGAATTTATTTCTCATAGACAAGATGTAAATCCTTTTCATTAAAATTTCCTATTTCTAGGCCTTACAAATTAATTTCTAATCTCATAGACAAGTTAGAAATAATTTTCCAAAGTTTAATTAATGAAAATTGCTAACAATTATTAATTACTATTTCATCAATTTGAATAACTAGTCCAATTAGTTAATTTTAACCCCTAATTTTCGGCTAATAAGTCAATCCATATTCCTTTATTCAATTCATGCCCAAAACAATTTAGCTACTACACATTATTTTTGCATTCAACCACATAGTAAATAAATTAGACATTAACAAGGAATTAAACATGTATAATAGCAAAAAATTAAACAAAAGTTAAATTCTGTCAAAATAAACTTGTAGGAACTAAAATATATTTTTCACGAATTATTAGACCTAAAATCCAATTTTAACAACTAATTGATGATTTTCCCAATTTTAACTATAAAATGAAAAAGGAAACTAAAAATACTTTAAATTCGTGATAAATTTTATATTGACTACTGGGGTGATATTAAAAAGAAACAAACTGGAATTAGGACCGTAGTTATTTTTTTCTATTTTTAACTAATTAATTTAATTTATGCAATAATAACAACTAATTGACGTAATTAATTAAAAATTACTTGTGCTTCGAGAAAATTAAACTTCTTCAGATAAATAACAACCTTGAGGCTAGTAAACAACTATATAATTAATTGGAATGAATTCAACATCAACAACTATTTTATTTAATTTTTGGAAGAAAATGTGAAATACTTGATAAATATTCTGGAAAAATTCGAAGAACAGATCGAGAAAACAAATCACAGATTCAGATTCTACTGGTTGAGAAGATGAAAAGACATATAAAGAACTTACAATTTGAAGCTAAACTGAAGAAGATATGAAGATTTGAAGTTTCTCTCTCCCAAAAATTAGGAATCCCAAAATTCTACTGGTTAGAAGTGGTGTGTTTGAGTTCAACAAAAATCGGGCTATTTATAGCACTAAAAAGCTCGTAGGTGGTCTGGAGGGCGGCCGCCCTTCGGCCTGATCTGGCCGCCTGCTGTCTTTTCACCGACAGCGGCAACGCGGCAACGTCACTTCGCCGCAGGCGGTCACGGAGGACGGCCACCTGCCATTTCTGTCTGACTGCCTGCCTTCTTTTCGCACCGACGGTGGTTGGCTTCGTCGTCTTGTGCCGTAGGCGGTCACCGAGGGCGGCCGCCCTTCGTGGGGTGTCGGCAGCCTTCGGTCTTTTCCGGGTCCAATTAGTCCAAAATGCTGACTTTCCAAAAATAACGTAGACGATTTGGAGGACGGTCAGATCTGGCCGCCTACTTGACCGCCTGCGGGCTTCTCTGGAGGACTCCAGTGTTGACTCAGCCTAAGGCCCTAAGGTAATAGTTTTTTTTTTTTTTTACAATTTATGGTTTAATTTAAGTCTTTTAAATGTTATTTTAGTTTGTGTTAGTGTGTACAATTGATTTGTGTGCTTTGAATTGTGAAATGAAAAATTAGGAATGTCAAATGTGATTTGTGAATTTCAACATCAACATCGATTGAATTGACTGATTCTGGTGAAATTTATGAAGTCCTGGCTGAAGACCTGAAGTGGCTGTATTGCTGATTTTGCTGATTCGTGAAAAAATTATATTTAAAATATTTGTTATGAATAAATTAAATAAAAATTATATGAAAAATAGCTAAAATGATCATCTACAATAACTTCAGCCAATACAGTCAGAAAAGTAACTACAACCTCACTTTTTTGCTTATTACAAAATTCAGCGCGTGAAATCAAAAGTTACGTGTTTGGTGAAAAAGCTGACTGATAAGCCTGATAAGCCGAAAAGAGAGGTCACCAAACGGGCTCTAATATGAATTGTTCAAAAAGAAGTAGTTTCTGATTTACTTGTAATTGAATGAGATCCGGGAAAACGTTTAACATTTTCCTGGTACAAAATAGACAATAGATAAATGTTTTAATTGGGATTCCTAATATCTCATCCCCTCAAGACATTTTCTGATTCATCTTGAACGGGATCCAGCATCCGCTCATCTTATTTTTTTTTTCTTTTTCAACGAAGAGAAAACCAGTTCGCTAATTTGAGTTTGGCACTGAAGTTATATCACTTCAGGTGGCTCATGTGCATAATTTTTGAAGTCCGTGTCTGCTAGAGTTTTTCCAGAATCAGTTTTAAGTATCCAAACACCTACTCAAGGGAATAATGCTCTAAACTTTCACGACTTAACAATCAAATGGTTTCTGAAACAGTGAAAATTAGATCCCTTTCACTCATGGATACCGTCATTCGGAGCCTGCCACCGGCCACGTCTCTTTCTCCCTCAGTCATCTCATTTCTCAATGCCAAGCTCAGCACTCTCAAAGACCTTGAACAGGCTCCTCATCTTTTGTTGGAACTCCAGAATCAATGTAATGACCTTGACCAAAACCTCTTGGATCTTAACAAGCAGCTTGAGAACTACCTTTTCGACTATGCTTCACATTCTGCACATATCAATGGTCTTCTTGATGACATAAATGTCAAAGTGAAGGATCTACAGTGTTCCTCTCATTCTGCATCTTCTTCATCTGGTAAATGCGCCAAATTATGCCTATAAAGTAAGTGCTCATTTTCCCTTAATTCGCACACCATATCTATTAATTAGGTTTTGCCTTGTTGTGCAGATGGAGGCCCGAGTAAGATTTGGGGGGAGGAGTTACCCGCACTGGCAAAGGAGGTGGCTAGAGTAGAAACCGTGCGAAAGTATGCAGGTTGTGACTTCTGTCTTTCTTTCAAATGCAATTATTGGTTTTGTATAGGAGTACAAAGTAAAGGATTAAAAATCCAAGTTCATTACTTTTTTATTATGTGTTTGGTTTGTGTAGTTAACATTGAGTAAATAGTATAGTGTAAAAGGAAATAGAAGGTACATGGTATTGAAAAGAAACATAATAGATTGAAGCAAAAGTTTTTTTGAAGAAAGCGGAAGATAAAAAATTGTCTTGTGAAATACCATGAGAGTTCTCTGATGGTTGTGATAAAAACTTCTGATTCTGTATTCATCCTGCATCTGTGGTTGTTTTATATATACTAGACAGAAGTATGCCATGTTAGAAGCATTGATTCAGTGCGGGAGCAGTGTTGTCAATCCCGGATAGCGGAGCGTTGCAGCCAGCTCTCGAAACGCTATTGCGGTATAGTGGATAGCGAAATGACTGCTATTCAGAGAATATATATATGCAAAATACAGATGATATGCATGCATATAATTACATTGTGTACTCATCAAATAAAAAAACATGATTTATGTTACTGAAATTACCAAACATCTTGACATTCATAAATCCTAAATTACCAACAAAATACTCCATTGGCTCATGAACAAAACATACATTGGCTCTAAACAATAAACAGAAGATGCTACTTAGAAGAAGAAAAGAAGAGGAGTGCAGCAGAGGTAGTTCTCGTAGAGGACGGAGAAGGAGAAAATATACTCAAAAGAAGCATATAGGAGGAGTGTAGCAGATGTCGTTCTTGTAGGAGATGAAGCTACAGAGGTCATTCACTTGTTCTTGCAGAAGAGAACCAGATACTTGTCATCGTATCAGGTGTGAGTCGCATCACTAGTGCGTTAAAGGTTTTTTACAGTGGTTACTATTTTTGTTCAAAAGTCTACTTTACCCTTAATACGTCAGAAAATGAAACTTAGCCAAGAAAAACCTAACTGCAGCGAAGAAAAGCAAATAGCACCGCTACTCCCGCTAGAGTCAAACACAACGCTACAGGTGTTCTTGTAGCGCTCAACCCTTCTTCTGCTCTGCTATACCGCTATAGCATGCTATTGACAAAACTGTGTGGGAGCTATACGATTTACGTCAGATACAAAACATTACGCTTGACATTGGTGTTATAGTTGTTTCTACATGTAAAATCTATCAATATTATAACATTTTGCTTTTATTTTTGTGGATTCGGCCCGTTAACTATGCAGGAGATGCCACTTATTGGTACATGTAACCACTAACCACTGTCCATATTATAACCGTTTTTGCTCTTTTCTTTTGTTGTAGAGGTTGCCTAGTTAAGTAGTTAGGGTCTTGCTGCGTCAGCTGCATGTCAGCATGTGTAAATTGTAATCAATGGTTGGAATAGTTAAATGATTCCTTATATATATATAGTAATCTTCCGGTCAGAATTTTTTTGACCGGAGCTCTGTCCGGCCACCTCGTTTCGAGATGATTCCCTGTAGTATTTTTGATGATTTTTTTGAGCATGTTCCAGATGAAGTGTAAATGATGTTAACCAAATTTGAGCAAAAAATTCAACCAGGGAGCCAATAAAATGATTTTTGGAAGATAACTGCGCCAAAATTTGATGGACATATAAAACGCAGTTATCATCCAAAAATCATCTGCCTGCCTTCCGGATTGAATTTTTTGCACAAATTTGGTGGACATCATCTACACTTCATAGGGAACACGCTCAAAACATTTCAGCAAAAATTACCATCGGGAACCACGTCAAAACGAGGTGGCCGCACAACGCTCTATCATTTTTCATTTTCATTTACCCCAGTGCCGCAAAGGCTCCCACCTACGGTGGGGTAAGGTGGGGTCGGATATACGCAGTCTTACCCCTATACTAAAGCATAGAGAGACTGTTTCCGGATGAACCATAGAGAAAATCGCGTCCAAAATTGCATGGACTGACTGCTGCTCCATATCAAAGAAGCGCAGACAGTTTAGTGAGCCATTTTGCTTTATTCCATCATAATCTCAAGCCAAAAAATAATGAATCTTTGGTTCCATTGCAAATAATGGAAACACACACACACACACACATATATATATATATATACAGTGTATGTATATATATATGTGTGTGTGTGTGTGTGTGTATATATATATATATATATATATACACACACATTCAAATAAGGGGTAGATCGGGTACAAATTGTGTTGTATATTATTGCGCAATGAAATAATAATTGCGTATTAACGTTCAAAGTGTTGCATCCAAAAAAAGTTTGATTTTATTACCAAAATGTCACCGTGCAGTTGCAACCTTTAGATCAATTCAACGGATGGTGAAGATGAGTTTGTAGTTTGTTAATTAGGAGGTGTTTTTATTTGATCCCTTATCTAATTAAATAAACACACACACACACACACACATATATATATATATATAGTAATCTTCCAGTCAGGCCTTCCTGACTGGAACCGCCGTGCGGACGGCGGCTTTTGGGGCCCTTCCCTATGGATTGTTTTGATAAACTTTTTTGGGGAATTTTCTCCATCAAGTCTAGTTTATTCACACAAAATTTAGCTAAAAATTCAATCGGGAAGGCAGTCAAATAATTTTTGGAAGATAACCACGTCAAAATATACATATAAAAACACAGTTATCTTCCAAAATTCATTTGACTGTCTTCCGGATTGAATTTTTAGCTGAATTTTTTTGTGGATAAACTAGGCTTGATGGAAAATATGCCCAAAAAAATTCATCAAAAAATTCCACCGGGAAGGCGGCCAAACGCCACCTTCCGGATGGCGGCCAAACGCCGCCTTCCGGATGGCGGCCAAACGCCGCCTTCCGGATGGCGGCCAAACGCCGTCTTCCGGAAGGCGGTTCCTGTCCAGAATTCCGGACATGAACTTCCCTCTCGATATATATATATATATATATATATATATATATATATATATATATATATTTAAATAAGCTAAGGTTTTGATGATTAATGAGTGACAATCAAACCTTCTGATGTTAACAGCCTAAATTATTCGTGTCTTTCGCATGGTTGCAGAATTTGCTAAACATGCCCAGGGCGCCTATCTTTAAAGTACCTGTTTTAATTATAGAATATATATTATTGCAACTTTTTCTAGTAGCTCTATAAAAACACCAAAAAGGTAATAAGGTGGAGTGTTCACCAATACAATGCTGGTGGTTAAATTTTTATCTAGGAGCGACTAGGTAGCACCTAGACACTGCTTAGGGTGCCTAGTTGCCCACACATATAGAATTCTGCAATTGATGCTTTACTTCTGCCTAGGGGTGCCTAGACACGTAGGTGCTATTGTCTATGAAATGGATTCCATGACATCAGTTGGTCTCCGACTCTCCTCTCTTATACTCCGTATAATGCTTTGGAGAAGCTGATGATTTCTGTACTTTATGTTCTACCAGTGTCATAACCAACCTATTACCAATTTCATTTTGTTAATATTTTATAAAAAGAAATCTAAATGTGTGTATTTTTTAAATTTTTTAATACACATCCTTTTAGACTGTTAGATAGTTTACTTGTCTTTATAGCTTGAGTTTTTTTCATTTCTGAAGATGTCCTTAATGGAATGTTTTACAACTAAGATAACTGAACTAAGAGGTTTTTAAAAAATGAAGATTATTCTTGATAAAAAAAGGGCAGCCCGGTGCACGAAGGCATCCCCGCAAGGCGAGAGTCCGGGGAAGGGTCCCACCACAAGAGTCCCACAAGAATATTAGTTTTGATAATTCAAATTATAGTATGCAAATGAAGAAATAAACTTTCATGTACTCCGTAGCATCTGCTTCTCCTAGGTCAGCATGACTTCTCGGTAAACAATACTTGACTGACATGCTGAATTTATGCCACTTGTGTGTTCTTCCCTAATGTAGTCTCTCTTCTTGTTGTTTTTTTGACTTCCTGAAATGCTGCCTTTCATCAAATTTAGGTGCAAAAAACATTGGTCAGAAGCTAAATTATCTTCTTGGATACATTTTGATTCTGTCTAAGTCTCACATACTCACAACTGGAATTCGCTAACAAATTTCAGAGACTGCTTTGAAGCTTGACACATTGGTTGGTGACCTTGAGGATGCTGTGTCTTCAACTATAAACAGAACTTTGAGAAGATACCCATCATCAACAAGTTCAGAAGTGAGTTGCATTCATGGGGAATTGGAATTACTTGTTCATTTTTCTGTTGCAAGATCTTTCAAACTTTCCATTTTTCTATATTTTCTCTTTAATTAACAGGACATGCAAGCTGTTGCAATGACCAGTCTTAAACTAACTGAAGGCACTCTAAGATTGATTTCGAAGTCCCAACCTCAATGGACACAACTTGTATCAGCTGTTGATCATAGGGTTGATCGAGCTTTAGCCATGTTAAGGCCTCAGGCAATTGCAGATCACCGCTCCCTTCTTGCTTCTCTTGGATGGCCACCACCTCTATCCACTTCAAAGTCATCTGGACTAGAAATAAAAAAGTCAATAAATGTCCATAATCCACTTGTCACAATGCAAGGGGAGCTTAAGCAAAAATATTGCGAAAGCTTTCTTACACTGTGCAGTTTACAGGAACTGCAGATAAAGAGAAAATCTCGCCAAATAGAGGGGATTGATAGGTATGTAGCCCTACACCAGCCACTCTGGGCCATTGAAGAGCTTGTCAGTCCCATATCAGTTGCTTGTCAACAACATTTCTCAAAGTGGATTGATCAACCAGAGTTTATCTTTGCCCTTGTGTATAAGGTCACTCAAGATTATGTTGATTCTATGGATGAATTATTGCAGCCACTTGTTGACGAAGCTATGCTCTCTGGATATAGCTGCAGAGAAGAGTGGATTGCTGCAATGGTGACCTCCTTATGCATGTATTTGGTGAAAGAAGTATTCCCAAGGTATACTAGTTTGTCGGATGAAGAGGGTGTAACTGGACGTAGATCGAATGCTAGAGCATCTTGGCTATTTCTCATCGACCAGATGATAGGATTTGACAAGAAAGTGCAGTCACTTGTTTCACAATCAGGAATCTCTCTTTCTTTGCAGGAAGATGGACTACGAAAGCTTTCTTCACTTTCTGTATTTGGTGACAGACCTGACTGGCTTGATCTATGGGCTGAAATCGAACTTGATGACTCACTTGATAAATTGAAGCCTGACATTATGGATGAAAGGAATTGGTCAAATGAGGTTCAAGATGCTGCTCTTCTATTGGGGCAAGGGGACACCAAGTCACCTGCAATAACCAGTTCATTTCTTCGCTGTTTGTCAGCTGTCATTGATAGATGCCGGTCACTTCCAACCGTTCCATTGAGATCAAGGTTTTTGAAATTGGTAGGACCACAAATAATAAATAAGTTCTTTGATTCCGTTGTCCTCCGGTCCCAAGAAGCTGAAGGACTGACAGATGATGCCGCTTTGACTAAAGTTGCTAGGTGCATCAATGCTTCTCGTTATTTTGAGGTAGTTCTAAAAGAGTGGTGTGAGAATGTATTCTTTTTAGAAATGAGACTTGACTGCGAAGATCTATTGGAAACTCTAGTTGAGAGTTGTACTAACCATGGGGAATCCCCTGGAAATGGAATTTTTTATTGGGAAATAAAGAAGCTGGAGGAGTTCAGAAAGGAATGGGCTGAGGTTCTGTCAACTGTTGTTTTAAGGGGGTTCGATGTGTGCTGCCGAGAGTACCTGAAGAACAAGAAACATTGGCAGGAAAAGGAAGAAGGGCATATAGTGTCCCAATCATTTGTCACCGCTTTAGATTATCTTCAGGGAAAAATGTCAGTACTTGCTGATGGACTGAACGGGATAGATTTTGTTGGGGTCTGGAGAAGCCTGGCGTCCAGGATTGACACTTTGGTTTTTAATGGTGTTCTTTGGAGCAAGGCCAAGTTTTCTGATGGGGGAGTTGAGAGGCTTGATAATGATATGGGTGTTTTGTTTGGTGTGTTCAGGCAATGGTGTTTTAGACCTGAGGGCTTCTTCCCCAAATTGAGTGAAGGTATGAAGTTACTGAAAATGACAAAGAAACAACTCCAGGATTGTTTAAAAGGAGGGGAAATTTCACTGAAGGAGAATGGGATAAGGCTGTTAACTGTAGCTGAAGCAGAAAAGATTGCAAGAAACAGAGCATAGTTTGCAAGGAACAGGTGACTGCGATAAGGCATTTCATACTCACGCTATAGGTTGTTTTGTCTCAACATGATTAAATATATTAATTTTCTATCAAAAACTGTATCTCTTCCTAAAAGAAAGTCTCATACACGTTTTTGGTGAAAAATGAAGAGTCTTTTGTTACATGCAACTCTTGGAGTTGCATATTTAAAAGAAATTATTATATTTTGGAATATTTCATTCATATGCAGCCAAGGAAACATGTATAATTAATGCATATAAAAACGTTTTTAAAAACTTTTTAATAATTGTGAATAGCCACATCACTAATATGACCGGGTAATCCGATGATCACCTACTAAATTCTAAATTTGATTGTTTTTCTAAAGTTGATGAGCTTAATTGGGTGTTTTTCTAGTTGCAGGATTTAATTGACTTTTGTGATATACTACGAGGGTCTATTTGACAGTTTTCTCATAATTTAAACATTAGAAGAGACATAGTATTAACTCATGAGCAGAATACATATGCAGAAGCAGAATAATATACTATTATAGTACTCCGTATTAACTCAAGAGGTTACAGTAACCGGTTAAGAGAAGTCCAAGAAGAAAGAAGCAAAAAAGAACTTGCTGAGATCAAGTCCAACTCAATCTTTGAGAAGTACATGACACCATACTTAATACTATCCTCTATTCCATAAAAGTGGCAGTAGTTTAACTTTCACGTTTGACAACGCGCAACTTTGATTGTAATTATATTTATTTACGTATTAGTAAACATTAAAAAAGTTAATATATTGGAAATTTACACTAATACAAATTTATTAATATTTCATATATAATATTTTTATTATATATATTATTAGAAAATCGTAGTCAAAGTAAGGTGTGTGAATAATGCAGAAATTCCAATGTTGCAACTTTTATTGAACGGAGGAAGTATTAAACAGAAGAGAATTGTAAAGCTACAGGACACTTATGCGACGAAACCTAATCCCGGTGAAACATATGCCTCATGATGCATGCCTTTTAAAACAAAGTATGAACGCTTTGAAAAAATCTAAAAACGCGCAAATATAGTGCAAGCGATGGTGAAGGTGTGGATGTGGTAAACGTGACGCCCTTTCCAATGCCAATGGAGAGAAATGGCGATCACTATTTTCCTCATCAACTACTCTGGTTGGTAGTGGCGTATCCAAAAAACTTGTTAGGAGGGGGCAATTTTACACTAAAATAGCAAAATTTATTCACATTTCACAAATAGCATGTCACATTATGAATATTGTTGAATTAGATGTAGTTCAAATTCTAAATGCACAGGCATGTACAAAAAGAAGATCAATTTATATTACTTGTGTAAATATGCAATTATAGAATTTTTAAAAAATTCCCTTAATACGAGTTAAACATAATATTTTTTTTCCAAATAGGAGTGCCATTGGGTTTTCCCTAAAATATGGCTCATGCACTCCCCGACTCCTATTTAGGTAATTTTTATTCTTTTATTCTTTTAATAGGAATATAGGATTACATAAATCTTCTTGCTTACTCATTTCATTTTAGAATTAAACCATTATTCTAATTGTGGTAGCCAATTCTTTTTCTCTTCTCAGTGCCTTGTGCGTTTTGGCATTTGGCTATTGTCATTTTCATCAGGTATGATAAATTAACCGTTTTAACTTTTCTTATTCATTGTTGTTTATCGAACGATGGATACGTAATCATGTTCTTGGTATCTGCTGTTGGCCAATAACGGCTATCTTATTAAATTATCTGCAAAGTTTAGCTCTTGGAAATAAGGTTATGACTAAGAATTAGGTAGGTCTCTTTGACGACATCTTGAACACTTTGGGCTATTTAATCTGATTTTTTTTTCTAGAGGATGTTAGGAAGATTGTATAAGTTCAAATACCGTAAATAGCCTAGTCAATACTCGAATGTATTGTTAGGTAGTTACAGATCATTGGAGTCTATTTGATCAGTCTGTTGATCAGTTTGTTAGACTCAATATACTATAAATACTTGTACTGTTTCCCTAAATCAATAAGATTCATTTCTCCTCTTTCTAGTATGGTATCAGAGCTCTAGCTCGTTCCTTCATGACGAACTCAAGTTCGAATTCCGTTTCTTTCCAAACTTCCGGAAACATCACAGTTCCGATCACATTCAATCACCCACTTCCTATTAAGCTTGATTCAAATAACTTTCTCCTATGGAAACACCATGTTAGATTTGTAATTCGTGCTCATAAACTTCTCAAATTTATTGAGAAACCTGAAATTCCTGAGAAGTTCATTGCCGGTGAGGCAGAAGGTACGAAGGTTGAGAACGATGCCTATGTTACTTGGGAACAACAAGATGAGATGCTATTTTCATGGCTCCTAGCATCTCTTTCTGAAACTCTTCATACTCGAGTGATCCACTGTCAACATTCGTACCAAATCTGGAACGAAATCGACAAATACTTTCAGGAAAATATTATCGCCAGAGCGAGACGACTTAAATCCAAGCTCTACTCAACCGGGAAAGGTGATCGATCAATCTCAGAATATCTCCTCCGGATTCAGAACATTGCCGATAATCTGATGACCATTGGTGAACCTATATCCACGAAGGATCATATTAATGTCATTCTCGAAGGACTTCCAGAGGAGTATGAGTCGCTTGTTTCTTCTGTATCATCCCGGAGCATCTTGGATCCAGTAACTATTACAGAGCTCGAATCACTACTTCTAGCGAAGGAATTACGACAAAAGAAATTGCGTGAATCTTCTCAGCAAACACTCTTTTCTGCCAATATAGCTCACGCGAAAGCTCCGACTCCTAATAGTGAAGCTGCTAATCCAACAATTTCAGAAACCTCTCCAGCAAATGTTGCTCAGTTTCAAAATCAGACCTCTAATCCTTCCTACAGGGGACATGGTCGCGAAGGATTCACCAGAGGACGTGGTGGTCGTTTTGGAGGTCGGAATTCAATCATTTGTCAAGTTTGTGGAAAACCTGGCCACAATGCCCTCAATTGCTATCACAGGTATAATCCTGCTTATGTGGCTCCCATTCCAAACTATACCAATCCCAATCCTACACCTTCCAACCCTTGGAATCAACAATCATCATCCTCTAACTACACCAACTACCCTAATCAAAATTGATGATGCCACTATACTTAGCACGTGTACATTGTGTCTCAGTATTATTCGTGTGTTAGCATTCAAAATTATGTGACAAAATAAAATGTACAAATTTTGAGTCTAATTAAATATTACCAGAAAAGTTAAAATGCAATAAGGTAATTTTTATCTACCTTAATATGATATTTAGATCCTGCCGGCATATTTATTTTGGCTCAAAGATTAATTGTGTGTCACATTTTAAAGAAAAGAAGCTCGAAAAATCATATACATTGAATGTAAATGATTAAAGACAAAACTTGACCGGTATTTAATACCGAATCAAGTACTGGGACCAAAGCATGGTACGCAATGACCAGTCTTAAACTAACTGAAGGCACTCTAAGATTGATTTCGAAGTCCCAACCTCAATGGACACAACTTGTATCAGCTGTTGATCATAGGGTTGATCGAGCTTTAGCCATGTTAAGGCCTCAGGCAATTGCAGATCACCGCTCCCTTCTTGCTTCTCTTGGATGGCCACCACCTCTATCCACTTCAAAGTCATCTGGACTAGAAATAAAAAAGTCAATAAATGTCCATAATCCACTTGTCACAATGCAAGGGGAGCTTAAGCAAAAATATTGCGAAAGCTTTCTTACACTGCAGTTTACAGGAACTGCAGATAAAGAGAAAATCTCGCCAAATAGAGGGGATTGATAGGTATGTAGCCCTACACCAGCCACTCTGGGCCATTGAAGAGCTTGTCAGTCCCATATCAGTTGCTTGTCAACAACATTTCTCAAAGTGGATTGATCAACCAGAGTTTATCTTTGCCCTTGTGTATAAGGTCACTCAAGATTATGTTGATTCTATGGATGAATTATTGCAGCCACTTGTTGACGAAGCTATGCTCTCTGGATATAGCTGCAGAGAAGAGTGGATTGCTGCAATGGTGACCTCCTTATGCATGTATTTGGTGAAAGAAGTATTCCCAAGGTATACTAGTTTGTCGGATGAAGAGGGTGTAACTGGACGTAGATCGAATGCTAGAGCATCTTGGCTATTTCTCATCGACCAGATGATAGGATTTGACAAGAAAGTGCAGTCACTTGTTTCACAATCAGGAATCTCTCTTTCTTTGCAGGAAGATGGACTACGAAAGCTTTCTTCACTTTCTGTATTTGGTGACAGACCTGACTGGCTTGATCTATGGGCTGAAATCGAACTTGATGACTCACTTGATAAATTGAAGCCTGACATTATGGATGAAAGGAATTGGTCAAATGAGGTTCAAGATGCTGCTCTTCTATTGGGGCAAGGGGACACCAAGTCACCTGCAATAACCAGTTCATTTCTTCGCTGTTTGTCAGCTGTCATTGATAGATGCCGGTCACTTCCAACCGTTCCATTGAGATCAAGGTTTTTGAAATTGGTAGGACCACAAATAATAAATAAGTTCTTTGATTCCGTTGTCCTCCGGTCCCAAGAAGCTGAAGGACTGACAGCACTGACAGATGATGCCGCTTTGACTAAAGTTGCTAGGTGCATCAATGCTTCTCGTTATTTTGAGGTAGTTCTAAAAGAGTGGTGTGAGGATGTATTCTTTTTAGAAATGAGACTTGACTGCGAAGATCTATTGGAAACTCTAGTTGAGAGTTGTACTAACCATGGGGAATCCCCTGGAAATGGAATTTTTTATTGGGAAATAAAGAAGCTGGAGGAGTTCAGAAAGGAATGGGCTGAGGTTCTGTCAACTGTTGTTTTAAGGGGGTTCGATGTGTGCTGCCGAGAGTACCTGAAGAACAAGAAACATTGGCAGGAAAAGGAAGAAGGGCATATAGTGTCCCAATCATTTGTCACCGCTTTAGATTATCTTCAGGGAAAAATGTCAGTACTTGCTGATGGACTGAACGGGATAGATTTTGTTGGGGTCTGGAGAAGCCTGGCGTCCAGGATTGACACTTTGGTTTTTAATGGTGTTCTTTGGAGCAAGGCCAAGTTTTCTGATGGGGGAGTTGAGAGGCTTGATAATGATATGGGTGTTTTGTTTGGTGTGTTCAGGCAATGGTGTTTTAGACCTGAGGGCTTCTTCCCCAAATTGAGTGAAGGTATGAAGTTACTGAAAATGACAAAGAAACAACTCCAGGATTGTTTAAAAGGAGGGGAAATTTCACTGAAGGAGAATGGGATAAGGCTGTTAACTGTAGCTGAAGCAGAAAAGATTGCAAGAAACAGAGCATAGTTTGCAAGGAACAGGTGACTGCGATAAGGCATTTCATACTCACGCTATAGGTTGTTTTGTCTCAACATGATTAAATATATTAATTTTCTATCAAAAACTGTATCTCTTCCTAAAAGAAAGTCTCATACACGTTTTTGGTGAAAAATGAAGAGTCTTTTGTTACATGCAACTCTTGGAGTTGCATATTTAAAAGAAATTATTATATTTTGGAATATTTCATTCATATGCAGCCAAGGAAACATGTATAATTAATGCATATAAAAACGTTTTTAAAAACTTTTTAATAATTGTGAATAGCCACATCACTAATATGACCGGGTAATCCGATGATCACCTACTAAATTCTAAATTTGATTGTTTTTCTAAAGTTGATGAGCTTAATTGGGTGTTTTTCTAGTTGCAGGATTTAATTGACTTTTGTGATATACTACGAGGGTCTATTTGACAGTTTTCTCATAATTTAAACATTAGAAGAGACATAGTATTAACTCATGAGCAGAATACATATGCAGAAGCAGAATAATATACTATTATAGTACTCCGTATTAACTCAAGAGGTTACAGTAACCGGTTAAGAGAAGTCCAAGAAGAAAGAAGCAAAAAAGAACTTGCTGAGATCAAGTCCAACTCAATCTTTGAGAAGTACATGACACCATACTTAATACTATCCTCTATTCCATAAAAGTGGCAGTAGTTTAACTTTCACGTTTGACAACGCGCAACTTTGATTGTAATTATATTTATTTACGTATTAGTAAACATTAAAAAAGTTAATATATTGGAAATTTACACTAATACAAATTTATTAATATTTCATATATAATATTTTTATTATATATATTATTAGAAAATCGTAGTCAAAGTAAGGTGTGTGAATAATGCAGAAATTCCAATGTTGCAACTTTTATTGAACGGAGGAAGTATTAAACAGAAGAGAATTGTAAAGCTACAGGACACTTATGCGACGAAACCTAATCCCGGTGAAACATATGCCTCATGATGCATGCCTTTTAAAACAAAGTATGAACGCTTTGAAAAAATCTAAAAACGCGCAAATATAGTGCAAGCGATGGTGAAGGTGTGGATGTGGTAAACGTGACGCCCTTTCCAATGCCAATGGAGAGAAATGGCGATCACTATTTTCCTCATCAACTACTCTGGTTGGTAGTGGCGTATCCAAAAAACTTGTTAGGAGGGGGCAATTTTACACTAAAATAGCAAAATTTATTCACATTTCACAAATAGCATGTCACATTATGAATATTGTTGAATTAGATGTAGTTCAAATTCTAAATGCACAGGCATGTACAAAAAGAAGATCAATTTATATTACTTGTGTAAATATGCAATTATAGAATTTTTAAAAAATTCCCTTAATACGAGTTAAACATAATATTTTTTTTCCAAATAGGAGTGCCATTGGGTTTTCCCTAAAATATGGCTCATGCACTCCCCGACTCCTATTTAGGTAATTTTTATTCTTTTATTCTTTTAATAGGAATATAGGATTACATAAATCTTCTTGCTTACTCATTTCATTTTAGAATTAAACCATTATTCTAATTGTGGTAGCCAATTCTTTTTCTCTTCTCAGTGCCTTGTGCGTTTTGGCATTTGGCTATTGTCATTTTCATCAGGTATGATAAATTAACCGTTTTAACTTTTCTTATTCATTGTTGTTTATCGAACGATGGATACGTAATCATGTTCTTGGTATCTGCTGTTGGCCAATAACGGCTATCTTATTAAATTATCTGCAAAGTTTAGCTCTTGGAAATAAGGTTATGACTAAGAATTAGGTAGGTCTCTTTGACGACATCTTGAACACTTTGGGCTATTTAATCTGATTTTTTTTTCTAGAGGATGTTAGGAAGATTGTATAAGTTCAAATACCGTAAATAGCCTAGTCAATACTCGAATGTATTGTTAGGTAGTTACAGATCATTGGAGTCTATTTGATCAGTCTGTTGATCAGTTTGTTAGACTCAATATACTATAAATACTTGTACTGTTTCCCTAAATCAATAAGATTCATTTCTCCTCTTTCTAGTATGGTATCAGAGCTCTAGCTCGTTCCTTCATGACGAACTCAAGTTCGAATTCCGTTTCTTTCCAAACTTCCGGAAACATCACAGTTCCGATCACATTCAATCACCCACTTCCTATTAAGCTTGATTCAAATAACTTTCTCCTATGGAAACACCATGTTAGATTTGTAATTCGTGCTCATAAACTTCTCAAATTTATTGAGAAACCTGAAATTCCTGAGAAGTTCATTGCCGGTGAGGCAGAAGGTACGAAGGTTGAGAACGATGCCTATGTTACTTGGGAACAACAAGATGAGATGCTATTTTCATGGCTCCTAGCATCTCTTTCTGAAACTCTTCATACTCGAGTGATCCACTGTCAACATTCGTACCAAATCTGGAACGAAATCGACAAATACTTTCAGGAAAATATTATCGCCAGAGCGAGACGACTTAAATCCAAGCTCTACTCAACCGGGAAAGGTGATCGATCAATCTCAGAATATCTCCTCCGGATTCAGAACATTGCCGATAATCTGATGACCATTGGTGAACCTATATCCACGAAGGATCATATTAATGTCATTCTCGAAGGACTTCCAGAGGAGTATGAGTCGCTTGTTTCTTCTGTATCATCCCGGAGCATCTTGGATCCAGTAACTATTACAGAGCTCGAATCACTACTTCTAGCGAAGGAATTACGACAAAAGAAATTGCGTGAATCTTCTCAGCAAACACTCTTTTCTGCCAATATAGCTCACGCGAAAGCTCCGACTCCTAATAGTGAAGCTGCTAATCCAACAATTTCAGAAACCTCTCCAGCAAATGTTGCTCAGTTTCAAAATCAGACCTCTAATCCTTCCTACAGGGGACATGGTCGCGAAGGATTCACCAGAGGACGTGGTGGTCGTTTTGGAGGTCGGAATTCAATCATTTGTCAAGTTTGTGGAAAACCTGGCCACAATGCCCTCAATTGCTATCACAGGTATAATCCTGCTTATGTGGCTCCCATTCCAAACTATACCAATCCCAATCCTACACCTTCCAACCCTTGGAATCAACAATCATCATCCTCTAACTACACCAACTACCCTAATCAAAATTGATGATGCCACTATACTTAGCACGTGTACATTGTGTCTCAGTATTATTCGTGTGTTAGCATTCAAAATTATGTGACAAAATAAAATGTACAAATTTTGAGTCTAATTAAATATTACCAGAAAAGTTAAAATGCAATAAGGTAATTTTTATCTACCTTAATATGATATTTAGATCCTGCCGGCATATTTATTTTGGCTCAAAGATTAATTGTGTGTCACATTTTAAAGAAAAGAAGCTCGAAAAATCATATACATTGAATGTAAATGATTAAAGACAAAACTTGACCGGTATTTAATACCGAATCAAGTACTGGGACCAAAGCATGGTACGCAATGACCAGTCTTAAACTAACTGAAGGCACTCTAAGATTGATTTCGAAGTCCCAACCTCAATGGACACAACTTGTATCAGCTGTTGATCATAGGGTTGATCGAGCTTTAGCCATGTTAAGGCCTCAGGCAATTGCAGATCACCGCTCCCTTCTTGCTTCTCTTGGATGGCCACCACCTCTATCCACTTCAAAGTCATCTGGACTAGAAATAAAAAAGTCAATAAATGTCCATAATCCACTTGTCACAATGCAAGGGGAGCTTAAGCAAAAATATTGCGAAAGCTTTCTTACACTGCAGTTTACAGGAACTGCAGATAAAGAGAAAATCTCGCCAAATAGAGGGGATTGATAGGTATGTAGCCCTACACCAGCCACTCTGGGCCATTGAAGAGCTTGTCAGTCCCATATCAGTTGCTTGTCAACAACATTTCTCAAAGTGGATTGATCAACCAGAGTTTATCTTTGCCCTTGTGTATAAGGTCACTCAAGATTATGTTGATTCTATGGATGAATTATTGCAGCCACTTGTTGACGAAGCTATGCTCTCTGGATATAGCTGCAGAGAAGAGTGGATTGCTGCAATGGTGACCTCCTTATGCATGTATTTGGTGAAAGAAGTATTCCCAAGGTATACTAGTTTGTCGGATGAAGAGGGTGTAACTGGACGTAGATCGAATGCTAGAGCATCTTGGCTATTTCTCATCGACCAGATGATAGGATTTGACAAGAAAGTGCAGTCACTTGTTTCACAATCAGGAATCT